ATTCTGATTCTGAATAACACTGTGCGGAGTTATGTTTCTGTGTATTTAAGGGAGCTTTGGTACTTTATACTTTGTTATTGATATATATTATTTACCTAATGCACATCATCAACCAAAGTTGATAGCAGCAGGTTTTTTTGTGCATAGGTACGCCTTCTGAACAATACCATGCTGGTGGTTCTGTTTCCTCTGCAGCAGCAGTTTCTACTCAGCAATCAACTCCAAACTGCTACAGAGATTCTGATGAGAATAGAAAAGCAGCTCCTGAAGGTTGGAATAACTGTCAAAAGCTTCTAAACTGGGAAGAGTCTGGAAATCCTTCCTTTATCCACTGGAGCAAATGCAGAATAGTAAAAGGTTGGTGTGTCAAACAGGAGAAAAATTTAATAAATTGAAAACTGTTCAATATATTAATAACATATTTTCTTTTAACCGCTTTTTTGTTTTCAAGTTCATTTTAACACACCTTTCTGCAACCTCTCTGTTACTCATTTATTACTCCATCCAGACAGTGTCTTGTCCACAGTCAAAATCAAATAAATTAGAAAAGAATCCTAAAGGAGCAAATCGATAATCAAAATAACTATTGAATGTGATTTATTAAATATAAGATATCTTTCTTCAAAAAGTCTAAGTTAATGACTTGATTTGTGATAATCACATTGATTTATGTTACCTTACAGAAACTTGGCTGCAGCAAGAGGATTATGTGAGCATAAATGAGGCAACTCTCTCTAGTTATTTAAATTTTCACATACCCAGAAATTCTGCGCGAGGAGGAGGAGTAGCAACAATCTGTCAGTCTGATTTACTGATTACGCAAAAGTCAGTTAATGATTACAACTCTTTTGAATATTTAACCCTTAGTTTACCTTATTCAAACAGCAAAGAACCAAATCTCTTTTTGTAATGTTGTATTGTGCACCAGGTGTATACTCTGAATTCTTAGATGAGTTTTCAGAGTTCTTATCTGATTTGGTGTTGAACACTGAAAGGGTCATCATAGTGGGGGATTTTAAGACCTATACTGGCACTGAAGGTGATAGCTTAAATGCAGCCTTTAATGCTATCTTAGACTCGATTAGGTTGATTAGTTTTATTTAAAATGTGAGTAGTCCCACACATTTTCATCTTTATACTTTGGATCTTGTGCTGATATTGTCATGTTGGGGTCAAGGCATCTAACCCACATGCAGAAATCACTCTTGAAGCAGAGAAAAAGTTAAATGGTTTATTGAAACAAAGTTCACAACCTAATGGGTGCACAGGTTCTTGGTTCGTCAGACTGGTCACGGGAGGGAAGCCACTGAGGAGGACAGAGCAGTTAGAGCGGATCCAGGAAACTTGCATTTTACAGATGACTGGGATAAATACCTGCTCAGAGAGGAATCTGATCAGCGGGGGGGAACCTTGTGGGTCCAGAGCAGGGGTGGGCAATTTCAGTTCCTGGGGGCCGGTATCCTGCAACTTTTAGATGTGCCTTTGGTTCAACACACCTAAATCAAGTAATCAGATAATTGGGAGGACTCTGCAGGAACCGACTGCATACTGAGGAATTAAGTCAGCCATTTGATTCAGGTGTCTTGGACCAAGGATGGATCTAAAAAGGGCAGGCAGGCAGGCAGATTCCAGACAGAGATTATTTTCTCCAGGAACACAGGTTTCCAGACAAGTCAGGATCTGTGAGGCAGAAGAACACAGGATCAGATTGGTTCACAAAAATCAGGGTTTCAGATCAGAGAAACTGGCTCAGGTTTTGCTATACCAATACTGGCAAACACTCTGGCAGGGAAGTGTCAGCCTCCTCCTCCTTAAGTAGGGCTTCTTGATGAGCAGATGGGAAACAGGTGTCGCAGTCAGCTCATGCCCTCAGGAGAGATCTCGTGTGCCCTCTGGTGGAGAAAGTGGACAAAGCCTCCAGATCCCAACAAATATATGGCATTGAATGTGAGGAAATAACAGCAGTTCCTCACAACCCCATCCTACTGACCGCTTTTTAATTACTTTTCCGGATTACTTTAATAGAGGTCTCCTAACCCCAGAAGAAGGTTTCACTTTCGCAGTTACTTATCATATAGTGCAGTTATAAATTTTCAGAATCAGAAATACTTTAATGATCCCAGGGGGAGATTATTTTCGCTACACGTTCCAGGTATACAAACAACATATTGCCACATTCATCATCTAAAGAAATAAAATACAACACAAAGAAATTCAACTTTCCACACTAAAAATAAATACATACATATGTAACTAACTTATATATACTTATCTAAAAAATATATATTTACAGATCTAAAAAAAGTAATAGCAATGTGCAAAAGAATGAATAAATGTTTATATTCTGACTAGAATTGAGTAGGTCTACGTCAGGCTAAGATAATGTACCCCTTTGAAAAAAAAGCTTTAAAAGGAAACAAATGTAAAGACGCAAACTGAGGTGTGGCAACAGAAGCATAAATCCAAAAATAACTGAATCCAGCAAACAGTAACTGCTGAGGAGGAGTATAAATGCCAAACAGAACAAAAATGGAGTAATCAACTGATTTGGAGCAGGTGTGGACAGAATGATCTAGAAGGGAGTTAGTGGAAAGGGGACCGGCACAAGGGGTAAACAGAAAGTGAACAAGAAATCATTGATATCTATTTATTAACTGAATTGCTGATAGCCCGAAAAAAGTAAAATCACCTGCTGCCGTCTTGGAGATGCGCTATAAAACTGCCTTTGCATGTAGAATTTGGCTGCAAAAACCAAGCACTTTTCTGGCTCTGGGAAGACGCTTCACTGGTAATTTTACAGTCAGTGGATTAACTTACCAAGAAAATCCATGTATATGCCGCTTTATCCTATGGTATTGTATGTAGCATAAAATTAGTCTGGCTATGAGTTAACCATTGACATTGTGTCTAACATTAAGAAAATAGAAAGTAGGGTAAATAGAAAGTAATAAACTGTGAAATGTCAATGTAGTCATTTTTGATTGAATGGATGATGCGGTAGTTTTTGTAGTGTGTGGTATATTTCCCATTTCTTAGCCCGTGAGGTAGGCACCCTGTCTATTTATGCTTAAAGCGTTCCATTTTGATAAAGCTTATAGTTAGAGTGGCTCAGGTTATCCTGAGCTATCTCTATGGTTATTCTGCTATAGGTTTAGACTGTCGCATGATGTATGGACCACTTTTCATCTTTCTGCTTCATTCTATCTTTATTCTCCAGTTCTGCAATCTTTGTAAGTTCAACCTCTAATGTTATGATCTATCTGCTTTTTCTCATAGTAGCTTCATCTGGTCTGTTCCTGTTTGGCTGTGACTCCATCCTGGAGGGAAATATCAGCTGTGCTGCTGCCATCAACAACTATGTTTATAGACGCTGGAGCTTGGTTCTCTTTTTCAGTGTAGTCCGGTTTCTCTGACTGTGACTATCTGTTTGTTCTCTTTCATCCTCTGACATGAGGGCTGGTTGGAGCACTTCTGCCTGGCTGTGTGTTTCCGCGACAAGGCCACATGTGGAGCTGATTGATGGTTGCCTTTGTATCTCTGCTTCTTTTTCTATCTCTTCTTCTGTCTCCTTGAACCCCAGTCGGCCGCGGCAGATGGCCGCTCACACTGAACCTGGTTCTGCTGGAGGTTTCTTCCTGTTAAAAGAGAGCTTTTCCTCTCCACTGTCGCTTAAAGCTTGCTTGGTGTGAGGGATTACCGAAGAGTCAATGAGTGGATGCAATCAACTGGTTTTCCTTAGATAGAAAACTTGGAACCAATCTGAATGTATGCTCTGGTTAAATTGTCTCTGTAAAGTGCCTTGAAATGACATGAACTGAATTGAAATGTATTCTGAGGTTTTGTTTGGGTTTTATCCCAGGGCTTCAATGGCTGCTTGGTGGAGGGTTTTCTAGGATTCAGATCAATCCTGAGGTCTAGGCTGCCTGTCAGAGTATGTAACCATGGTAACTAGCCTCGCTAAAAATGAATTCTGCTTCATGGCACTGAAGAGTCATAAGTTGTCTCGATAACCCAGTAATTCTGATTCATGGTACAGGCCTCTGTCCTCGAACTAAACTCAGCGTTGATCTAATTCCTTTTATTTTCGATGTAACAGACTTTATAGGTAGTGTGGCAATAAATGAATAGAGCAGCCACATAACCTAAAGTCAGCTGAAATGACTGTGTATTTATCAGTAACCCCCACTTCCTTCTCTTCTCTACCTGCTGAACCCGAAATCCGAAAAAAAGTGAAACGTGACAGCTTCTTTGCCGTTCTCCGAACCAGCCAATCACAGCAGTCTAGTTTTGTAATTCAACCTGACGTTTCTCCAGCCAACCAATCAGGAAGCCAGAGGCTGCGCTTTATGAGGACTCGCCACGCCCTCGATTGATCTAACCCCGCCCACAGTCACCAGGAAAGTTTTCGGGTCTCCAGTTGGAGCTCTTGTTTCTCCCCGTTTTTTCTGGATTAAATCCAATACTCCGCTTGATTTCCTCCGATGTCGGGCTAAGGAGAAAGCATGGTGGTGAACTCGGTCCACTGGTTCCGCAAAGGTCTGCGGCTGCATGATAATCCTGCGCTGCAGGAGGCCCTGAGCGGAGCGGACACGGTGCGCTGTGTTTATGTCCTGGATCCCTGGTTCGCTGGCGCCGCTAACGTCGGAATCAACAGATGGAGGTCTGAGTTTTTCACCGTTTTTTTCACTTTAAACTACTCACAACACCATGTTTATATTGCCCAGGAGGTTCATTAGCTCTAAGGTTTGTTATGGTTCAGACCCGTTAATCAAACTTCAGGCCTGCGTGGGCCTCCGCTCTGTTAGCGGGCGCTAGCCCATTCAAAACCCCCTTAACAAAAGTTACAATTTCACTTGTTTCTCCTATATAACTTTAATATTACAGTCTACAGAAAAGCAAATACATTTTCTTTGATCCGAGAGGTAATCTAGTTAATTCGGCGCCATTATAACATTTCTATATCAACATAAACACTCAGACCTGTAGATAACATAATTGTCTTCTTGGTTATTTTGATTATTTAAAAATATCAAGAAGGTAATTTATATCACTGATAAAATTTAGGAATTGAAACAATTAAATTGATTCATTACAAGCAGAGTGATAACCCTCAAAGTTTTTTTTAATAATACCAAATCTAATTCATTTGGCATCGTTAAAGGGATTGAATTGTTTTTGCCAAACGGGTTGCATTATGAATATTGAGTAACTCCTCAGTACTCCTGACTAAATTGAACAGCCAGATCCCTGTGAGCTCATTGGAAGCAGCTTCTCCATGTTTGATCTCTGCTTCCCTCTATGCAGGTTTCTGCTGGAGTCTCTGGAGGACCTGGATAACAGTTTGAAGAAGCTGAACTCTAGGCTGTTTGTGGTCAGAGGTCAGCCCACCGAGGTCTTCCCCAGACTCTTTAAGGTTTGTCTTCCTGCACATGTCACGTTCTTTGGCCGGCCTCCTCCAGAATCTGGGTCCCTTTGGAAGCTGGTAGTCGGACCGATCACTGGTGAAAGTGGGGAAAACGTTGATCTGAACGTCATTTGGCTGCAGCAAACATGACTCTGCTGGGTACGGATGCTGGACATCAGCTGGTTTCCTATTGGTCAGCTGGTTTGACATCAGGGCTCTGGAGCTGCTCTCTTTGGATCCTTGTCCTTTGGTTCAACACACTTGTATCCAGTAATTAGATGATTGAGGGGACTCTGGAGGAGCTGGCTGCATACTGAGCAGTTAAAGCCGGGCGTACACTGTGCGATTTTTTTACATTCGTTGCACGCAGCAAGTCATTTAGAATGTTTTTAGAGCATAAACAGTGGTGTATAGGATTTCCTAAAAGCGTGTTCACGAGTCTACGGAAACC